GTGGTGGTTGAGATTGTTTTTTTTTGAAATCGATAAAATTTTTATATGAAATTTTTGGTTTTTTTGGATTTGGGATGAATTTTTTGTCAAAAATCAAACCTCTAATGTCATTTAATACATTCTCTGCATTACCCCTATTCAAATAATGAAACAACTCAAGATCATTACCATTTAAACAAAAACCTCCATTCCATCTACGATTTCCTTCTGCTAATAATTTTTCATAGACATCTAGTGGTAAATCTGAACCCCATGATTTTTCAAAGTTACTATGATTAGATCCATCATACCTCACATAGCATTTCATGAGTACTTGAAGAAAATATCGTGACAATATCACACCGTTTCTCAATGCACAATTTACCAAGTCAACACTAATGAAACTTGGTCCAAAATATACTGCGAAAAACAATGAATGTGCTTTTCCATAATGGTTAATTAGCCAATGGCATCTTGACACTGGATTTTTAGCGGTATTTAACCATGACTTATTTACTCTCATAAAAGATGCTGGGCATCTTGTATATTTAAAAATATCTACCAAAATATCCTCCATTTGTACACTTAATTAAATTACAAATGTTATTTCAATATAGATTGTCGCAAACAAAATTTACGCTTTGCTAATTAGCTAAATTAAATTTGAATTGGTACAACGACCTTTCTCGAATGTAAAAAAAATTTATAATTATAAATAGCTTATGTTCCGAAATTAATGCTTCATTATTCAAATATGAAGATAAATTTGTTTACAAGCTTTTATTCAATAAATGGTAACGATGGATGGTGTTTGTAATTATAATTTTTTTTAAAAAAAAACAAATTTCGTTTGTTGTAAGAACGAATTTTTACCGGCGTTAACACTAAATTCTTTGGTGATAGTAGTAGTGCAATGTCAAGCGAAATGAAAGATTTAAAATAAATAAATAAATAAATAAATATGATGGAAAATTTTTGAAGCTGTATGATTATAAGAATAACAGTAAACTGGCATTGTGAAAAAATATCAAATTTTCTGTCATATTAATATTATTCTAATGTGGCGGCGGCATTTACTTGATTTTTAGTGAAGTAGAAAAAGGAATTTATTAAACTGTCAAATTAAGTAAATTATCAATTAATGATGACCAAAATAGTTGGAACATAATGGAATTTTCTCATTGCTATATGTGGACGATACTGGAGGTTTAAAAGTTCATAATGTCACAGATCAAATAAAGTTATAAACAAAACGGTTAATTATCTACAATTTTTGTAACAAACAAAGCGGGGTTGATTATTAAAAATCGGCGAATTGTATGAACAATTTGGGAAATAAGCGTTATGAAAGTTAAAGTAAAAACCTGTAAAGTAATAATGGTAGATGAATAAGAAAAACACATTTGATTTGAAAGTGTTCGTGCTTAATTGTAAATCAACAAATAAAACAAGATTTTATCAATTTGCCACCATCTAATGCATATGTAACTTTATTTTTTTAGTTATTATCTGCTTTCTTTTTTTCTTTCTTTCACTGTCTTTCTAGAGTTAATGCATTGCATATACCCTCAAAAAATTCTAACAATAATTTGGGCTTTCGCAACTATTGCTTAAAAATTCTTATTTTCTTTGTTTTTTTTTGATATACAGAATTTTCAATATTACCTTGTATATATTCATTATTTTTATTTTCACTTTAAGCAATTATTACAAAGCGATTCTCTATTTAGCAAACCTTGATTTAACTGGTTCTTACTGAAAGTCTTAATTTACAAGTTTGAGAGTCCAGAACGGTCTGATGCTGTATAACGGTTTTTCTAATTATAATAGCCGAATACATACTTTGAAAAAATTATTATCCTTCCATAAAAAACACCTTTACAATGAATTTATGTTGTAGGTTCTTGTACAATAATTTTAATAATGAGAGAAGAAGTTATAATAGTGGCCCTCAACCTATGATTATTGAAGCGTGTATGCCCTTGACAAAAAAAAAATAATGATTTGCTTTGGTGGGAATAATAGGGTGGGCAGACATTATTATCAAAATATTCTACACATCAAATTTTCCATTTATAAAATCATTCGACTCTTTCTTCGAAACTGATTTTAGAGGAACGATAAAAAAAATTCATTAATGCAGTCAGCATTAAATACTTGTGATAAAAAGAAAAAAGAAAACAAGAAAAGAAATTTCGCATACATAATTTTGGTGAACTTGAGCTACAAAACGGTGTTTTCATTTAATTGTTGTGCACGACTTTTATTTATAAATATTCGGATCAGTCAACAATGTATATTGTTGCAGTCTTAATTGTTTATGTTTTTAAATTTTTTTTTAATTATTTCCGGAATAAATACATATAAAATATATATAAATTATAATCACACTGCTTAGCTAAAATAAAAAAATATACAACAAACAAATAAAATAAAAAAAAAAACAAAAAAAAATAAATCTTATGAAAACCCTAAAATTTTAAACAAAAATCCTTTGAAAAATCTCTTGAAAAATGAATTGATTAATGATAGGGACATTAGTATGGTAATAATTGTAATAATTACAATATATTTTTATAAATGGAATATAAACTAAAGTAAAGAAATTGGAAGGATTACTTGTTAAAATTGAAGAATTTGAATCAAAATAACTTTTAGTTAATAAAATTTCAACAAAACATTTTGATATAATGATTGGATAAGGCTTGAAACTTTTCAATATCCATTGATAAACACACAAATCAAACGAAAAAAGTTTCAAGTCTTCCAAGTTTTCATCATTAGAATTGACATTTCTAACACTGGTTTCTCCAATTCCATAATGTTTTAAAATTTTTAGAAAAATATTTTCTGGACTTCCTTCAATTTGTTGAAATAAAAAATCTAGAACACAGGTGGTTTGCTCCAAGTTCCCTCCACCTCCAATGATTTCAAACAAACATTCTTCTAAAATGGTGGATTTATTTTTATTTCTAATTTTTTGAAAAGATTTTATGATTATTTCACCGATTATGTTCAATCTGTCTTTAAAGGAACAAATTATATCAACCATTGCTGGTTTTGTTAACTTGAATCCTAGATTGATGAAAGGTTGTAATTATGCAAGAATTGTTTCTAACATAGGATGTTCTGTATACAAGATTTGGAAAACCAAATCACTGTAATCATAACAAATTGACTCATAACCAATTTCTTTCCACATATCAACTAATTCTGGGTGAGCAATAATTGCCTTAGACACCATTCTCAATGTTTCTGCATTTTCAAATGCATCAGTCATATTATCAGGTTATTCATAAAATAGAGATGGTGGTGGTAATAGTGGTGGTTGAGATTGTTTTTTTTTGAAATCGATAAAATTTTTATATGAAATTTTTGGTTTTTTTGGATTTGGGATG